GTGAGCCGTGGGCTCGCGTAGCCGCCACGCGCTGACGGTGTGGGACCGGAGACACGGCCCGAGCTGTCAGTGAGGGAATGAGGTGGCATGATGGGGATGAGGATGAGGATGGCTGAATCTTGGCCCAAGTGGAAAGCCTGGGCCCGGCTGTCGGTGGCTTGTGATGGTGGGCGGGCGGTGGCTGGCTGGCGGGCTCAGATTCCGCGGATCCGACACGGTCGGCGGCGTAGGCGGTGGGAAAGGTGGACTTGGTGGGGCCCGGAGAGGGTGGCGGCATGTGAACATCCCCTGTCCGAACGTCGACCGTCGGTTCTCGTTCCTGATCGGATCCTGGCCGTGCAGCGGTGCAGGAAGAAATAATTCCATATTTTAACCTTTTCTAGAATCTGCGTTTTTTGCGAATAAAATCTCCATAAAAGGGTTTCTTTTCTTTTCTGACACTCAATCTTCACTGTTCTTTGAGTGGTACGGGTGGTTGTGGAAAAACTACAATTCAAGCGTTTCTTCATACCTGAAATTTTAAAAGTGCACGCGCGCTCGTTGGAGAGAACGAGCGGTCGCTCTGTCACTCGCATGCATACATGCATGTATTGTCTTCTAGTGCATGTGACTACTAGTATTAAATGCGGTCAGACTTGTCACATGTGACGAAAAACAGATCCACGTCCATTTATTTTGGGTTTTCAAATTTTTAAAAAGTCATATCTTTCAAACCATGCATCAGAATTTAGATCCGTCTTTACAGTTGGATTTCTCGTGACGAGATCTTTGAAACTAGATACCACATGGGTATGTTTCGACGAATTTTTTTATGCCAACTTTCGTGCTATATGGTGCAACTAGTCTACTGCCCCGGTCAACTACCTAGTAGTCGTTGTGCAACCCTCCTCCCTACTTGTGGATGCGTAGTTTTTCACTGTTGGCACACCCTACCCCCACCTCCCCTGCAAGGAATATGTGCAACTTAGTCTATTGTTCAAGCCAACTGTCTATTAGTCAATGTGCAACTCCCTACGCTCTCTATTTGTGGACCTGTATTTTTAATTGGCGGGACCAACAAACAGAGTTGCACATAGTCTGCTAGGTAGTTGGTCAGGGGCAATATACGAAGTTGCACATCTCACAGGCAGGGACAGTTGAATGGTAAAAAGTTGCATATAAACAGAGTGCTAAAGTTGCAAAACTCATTAGGGGGGTGTTTTGGGCCGTGTGCTAGCAGGAAAACTACACATCCATGAGGTACGAGAGAAAGTTGCAAATCACAGTTAGACAGTTGGCCGTGGCAGTATACGAAGTTGCACATCCACTGTTAGTTTGTTGGCCATGCAGCAAATAGTGAAGCACATCCACGGGCAGGGAAAAGTTGCAGATCAACTACTATGCAATTGGCCTGGGTAACAAACGAAGTTGCACATCTCATTAGAAGGAGTTAGTTTTGCACCATCATTGAAATCTGCATGTTTACGGTATAGGAGAAAAGTTGCACATCCCTGTCAGGTAGTTGCACACCGACGGCTAGGCAGTTGCACAAAACAGGGAAAAAATTGCACAATTTTTTGATCAAAACATAGCCATGCGGGATCTAGTTTCGAAGAGCACGCCACGAGGGTTTCAAAAGTGAAAACAGATCTTAATGTCGACGCGCTGTTTGAAAGTTATGATTTTTTAAAAAACTGAAAACACAAATTAAATACGTTCACATCTGCTCACATGGATACTTTACAATTATTTATCATCTTCACATATGTCCACACATATTTACTTTTTCTAATATGAGTCAGGGAAACAAAAACTTACCTTTTTTGGCCGGCCACCACGAAGTGCTAGTGGGCAGTTAGCCGCCGGCTAGACGCGTCCTTCTTCATAACGAGGCCTAAGAGATGTTTTATATGGTTCATAAGGGTTAAGCCTTTAGTGCAACTCAAGCAATCAAACGGCCCAAAACTGCATTCAGCAGGCATGACTCGTCATAATGCAGGTTATCAAACGCGTTACTTTCTCCACTCGCTCCACTGCTAGCTCAAGCCAACGAATTTTTTTATCTGAAAAGGTTTGGTAAACCAAAAGATGTACTAGATAGATATTAAAATATTCATTTAAAATTTTGCAAATAAAAACAATGATTTTTTGTATATTCATATATTTCATAAAATGTTCACGAATTTTAAATAAGGTTGGTAAATTAAAAACTATTCATAAATTTAAAAATGTTGGTGAACTTTATATTATTCACAAATTTAACACCCTGATAGGCGGGGCCTATTGACGCCACATCACTCGACGCGCCAGGAGGCTCCAAATATAGGGAGCTTGATTACTCAATGAGAGGATAATGCGTGCTTTATCACGTCGTTCTTCAGTTGTGGAATTAATTCCAATTTTTTTCTCCCGATAGTTACTATGGTAGTTCGTAATCCATGCACGTCGCTGAAGGGGTCAAGCACACGTGAACCCCATGGGCGCTATTCGGCCGGCCAAGTAGGATGGTTGTTTCTATTTCGGGAAGGTTCAGTTCTAGTTTTTATTTTGTGACTTTACTTGTATTTTTTACTTTTTCCTTTTTATATTCCTGCTTTGTTTTATACTTGTTTTCCTTTTTTATTTTAAAATTTTTAACCCGATTATTTTGAAATTTACGAAAATATTTTGAAATTTGGGAACATGCTTTAAATCAGTGAACATTTCTTCAAATTCATAAAAGTATTCCCAATTTGTGAACAATTTTTTTAATTCAGAAACATATTTTTAGATTTGTGAGTAGTTTTTAAAAGCTGGGAACAATTTTTAAATTCCCAAACTTTTCTAATTGACAAATATTTTAAAATTTTGTGAATATTTTTAAAAATCATGAACTGTTTTAAAATTCATGAATATTTTTTCATATTCACGTACAAGTTTAAATTTATGATTATTGTATTTTTCCTCTAGCAGGTTATTATAGTCGGATGTTCAATTTGTTTTACATGTGTTTGGGTAGGCTTAAATTATGTTGGGCATGGCCGTATTTTTTCGTTGGTAGTGTTGTTACACATTTTAGTCGTGATGGCCAGTGGTGGTTACATGAGCTCCCTTTATAGCCCATAAAAATAATCAACCACAAGCAAACGACGCACCCGTAGGCGTAACACAAAGAACACCATACAACCATAACGATAACATGTATCCAAACAAACTAAACATGCAAATACCCACTTAGGCCTCCTTTGGTTTGTAGGAATCTTGTAGGAATTTCATAGGATAGGATTTTCAAAGGAAAAATTCCTATGAAGCCCTTTGGTTTGTAGGAATGGATTCCTAATCCTACGTAGGATAGGGTCCAATCCTTCACATTTCAAAGGGAAAAAAACATTAGCCTAGACTCAATGGAAAAATTCCTATCCTATGCATCAAATGGCATCTCTTTTTTTATAGGAATTGAGATGCATGTCATCCCACTTCCTATGAAGTTCCTATTCCTATAATATTCCTATCCTATGAACCAAAGGAGGCCTTAAAGGTTGGCCATCAGCGACCCCAAATCCCCGGTGCACCAAGAACCAACATTAGTGAAAATAGCGGAGCTCTGCGGAAAATGGAGGGCGACAAGAAAGATTCTCCCAGGAGTTCCGCTTTTCAATAATGTCGATGAGGTCCTTGGTTCCCCGCCGGCAACGACAAAATGCCACTACTCAACCATGTCGGTATGCCTGTGTGTACTTTTACATTGATTGTCGCATAATACTTGCATGAGATTCAAGAATAAAAAACAAAGGATCATCTACCCAATTACACAAAATATTATTGTTGCAAACAATGTCTAGCAATCTCATGTGTTGTGTAGCATTGGCTACCCGCAAAACAATGCTTGAATTGGACATCACATATTTTCATCACAACCACGCAAATCAGCATACACCGCTGCCCCTTCGGGGGAATGTATTTGGTGCACCCACACTTGTGGTACTACCGGTGCACCGGATGCAGTAGACCATTTTAAAAAATCTTTAGAAAAAAGCCTAACAAATTGAAACAACATCATTGTATGTTGTCGCAAAAATTCTATCAAAAATTGAAACATTTTCTTGAGATGCAAGAATGACAAATTTGACATAAATGTGATAATTGGCCAAATCTAAACCCCAACTTATGTTATGTAGTATTCAATGTTGAATTTGTCATTTTTGTTTGTCGTGCATTGTTTCGAATTTTGTGACAACCTACATTAATGTTGTGTGAATATGACAAAAAATCAGATTTTTGTTTAACATTTTTAAATGTGCAACATGAGTTCAGTGCATCTTTAGCACCACAAGCACCAGTGCACCAGATACTCTCCCGTTCCTTTGGTCCACCATGTGCTCATTCCACACATGCTTCTATGGTTCAGTTGAATGGTTTACGCAATAACTCGAAGGTATCCAAGAGATGCGTGGATCCTCTTCTCCTACCATCCATGAACTTGCTAAGGACCCCCTCTTCTCCTACCTCCTGATTCCGCCATGGATGTGCCTCCTCAACGCACCCAGATCGACCACATCCATGTGCCCATTAGGCAAAGTGAGGAAGAGAGTGTCCCCATGGTTCGACTTTGCTATTGCAAATCCGCATGGTCATGTTGCAGGAGGTCATGCTGTTGGGGAACGTAGCAGAATTTTAAAATTTTCTACGCATCACCAAGATCAATCTATGGAGTCATCTAGCAACGAGGGTGAGGGGAGTGC